TTCCACTTACTTTTTTTTTTTTAAAGCAAAATTTGGCAATTCTTTTTGGGAATAATTGACTTGGAACAGAAAGGGAAGCTGTTACTATTTTAAGAAACTCCGTATCCAGGTGAAACAGACAGTCTCCTGTTTCTGAAAAATGATGATACATCGTGCATTAGTCTCTGCCATCCAATAGCATTGAGGACAGAACAGGTTTTTTTTGGAGAGGGGACTAATGTAAATTTGATAGAAAGGAGTCGAAGAAGGAGAAAAAATGAGGCATTTTTATTTCTCCAAAGATCAGTGAGGTTCTAGGCATAAATACACAGGTGGGAAAATCTCAGATCATCAGATGACATGACAGGGAAAGCCAGGGATAAAGGACACGCGAACAATAGACTCTGCTTCTAGTTTTTCTTGTCTCCTGTATTTCAACCCATTTACTGTGTGCCAGCCACTGTTCTTATACCTCCCTACAAAGTTAGTACTATTATTATTATTCCCATTTTACAGATGACTCTCTGAGAACACAAATTCCTTGCCAAGGTTCCACAGCTAGTGGGTGGCAGAGCTGGGACCTAAGCCCGGGTCTGTTAGACAACAAGTGTGAGTGTGCTCACATTAGTTTTCTATTGCTGCTGTAACAAATCGCCCCAATTTTGGTGCCTTACAAGAACACAAATATATTATCTTACATTCTGAAGGTCAGAAGTCGAAAATGGGTCAGCTTCTGGAAACTCGAGGGGAGTATCTGCTCCCTTGCTCTTTACAGCTTTGAGAGGCCCCCTGCATTCCTTGGCTCATGGTCCCTTCCTCCCTGTCAAGGACAACACTGCAGAATCTTCTAATCTCTCTCTCTCTCTCTCTCTGTGACATCTGCTTCTCTCCCTCTCGTCTCCCCCTGCTTCCCCCTCGAAAGGCCCTTGAGAGTACATTGGGCCCACCCGGATATAAAAGTTATGCTAGAGATAATCCAGTGAATGTCAAATTGTAATGACAGCCTTTATGAGCATCAACATTAAATCCAACCCAGCACAAGTAGCTTTCTCCATGTGTTTACCCATCTGCCAGGCACTATTCTAAGTATTTCACATAAATCAACTCATTTCAGCCTCACGATGATCTTAGAAGCTTGGTTCCACCAGGAATATCGTTCCCATTTTACAAATGAAAGGACAGAGGCTCAGAAACTTGTCCAAGCTCAGAGGGCAGAGCCACGATTCAAATCCCGCATCCTGGTTTCTTATCCTTCCTTCCTACTGCCACCCCCGCTTCTTAATAAGCCCTCCCAGGAAATGTTCCTGCAGGGTGATTAATTGTTGAATCGTAGTGGGGAAAATATAGATAAAGAGAAGGAACACAGTCACCCAGAATCCCACTCACCCCTTTCTCTGGTGACTTTTCTCTATGCGCATATGTATATGTATACCCCACCAGAGATGAATACAGATGTGCATCAAAAGATTTGGTCAGAGAATTCTGTCAAAAGGATCAAAAAAGGCCCCCAGAATCCTACTTTTATACCCCCTTAAAAACTGCATTGAAAATGATAACTTAGTTAATAACCTGGGGAAAACAGCAAGAGGGTGATAATAGGCTGCCTTCCTCATTAAATGGGATAATCACTCCAAAGCGAGTTGCACGGGGCTCAAGTTGTCAGTGAATGACAGGCCGAATTCTGACCTCAGAGGATTAATCTAAACTCTTTACAGATTCTCCAGCGGGCGCCCGGATAAGTTGAAAGCAAGGCTGCAGGGAACTAGAGCTAAATGCAACGAACCCGTGACTCACCAAAATGCGATTCTCTTGTTTCCCTTGTCCTGTGAAGGTATTCGCACAGCAATATGCTATTCCAGACTGTAGTCCTGTGTTTCTGTAACCTGTTTTCCTCCTTTTAGGAATTCCTTCCATATATAAATATATATATATAAATATTGGGGAGGAAAAGAGGGAAAGACGGAGAAAAGGAGGGAGAGAGGGACCGAAAGAAGGGAGAAGGGGGCAGTGCTTTCTCAATTCCCAACACTATGTTCTTCTGTTCATCCTACACACTCCTTGCCCTTGCGTCCTATACTACAAACAGGGGAATAATCGTATAATTATGATAGAGAAAGTAATTTCCATAGGGCGTATTATATTCTCAATGCCTCTCAATTTCTTGAGAACATCTACAGTTTGTAAATTATATAAATGGTATGATTCTCATTTCAAAGCCCATGCATCTCAATGGCCAGCTTTTACCCCATTCTCATCAAAGGCTACTGCTATAAATACAGTCCATTTTGTGTACATCAAAGTATAAGTTTGACCCACAGGGTTTAAAGGCAGGAAGAAACTTGGGGCCTTTTTCTCATCCAGGGATTGCCTATCCTGGCAGTGCGTCAGAATCCTCTAGAAAGCTCCCAACCTTAGCTTATTGTAGATAGAGGCTATGGGAGGGGACCTGCCATCTAAGCTTTTAATAAACTCCTCAGGAATGATATTGTGATATAGAATAAGAAATACCTATTTGGTCTTCATCCTCATTCCGGGCACAGACCGCCTCTAAAACTTATCATATAAATGGTAAGAGCCATGAAGACGTCTTTTGTTATTCATAACAAGGCAGCGCCTTTTAACTACCTCTGAGTTTATGTTAATGAGTGACTTTGGAAAGCCCCTAAGGATGGGGGCCCTGGTTGCCAGGGGAACCAGCCTAGTGATTAGAGGGTTGGAACTTTCCACCCCATCCCCCATCTCTGGGGGGGGAGAGTGGCTGGATATTGAGTTCCATCACCAATGGCCAATGACTTAATCGATCATGCCTGTGTAATAGAGCATGCACAAAAATCCCTACAGTACAGTGTTCCGAGAGCTGGACTGTGAGTACCTGGGGGTGCGGGGAGGGCACGGAAGCTCTGTCACCCCCAGGTCCTCCTACCTTGCCCTATGCCTCCCTTCCATCTGGCTGTTGCTGAGTTGTATCCTTTTATAATAAACTGGCCATCTAGTAAGTCGACTGTTTTCCTGAGGTCTGTGAGCCGTTCTAGCAAATGACTGAACCTGAGGTGGGGCTCATGGGAATCTCTGATTTGTGCGGGTCACCTGACCACCCACCGCTTGTGACTGTCAACTGAAAGTGGGAGGCAGTCTTGAGGGACTGAGGCTTCAGCCTGTGGGTGCCGATGTTAACTTTAGGTCAACAGAGTCAGAACTGCTTTGAGACAGAGGACACTCAGAAGCGTCACAGAATTGCTTGGTATGGAATCCCCACACATTTGGTGTCAGATGTGGTGTGAGTAGTGGAATATAAAGAAAGGAGTTTTCTCCTAACACTAGGAGATTCTAAAACCTCTAGAACCAATAATAGGACTCATTTCCTCATTGCTCAGAATAAGAAACTGAAGCCCAGAAACTTACAGGCAAATGACAGGAACCATAATCATAAAATAATAATGACAGCTAATACATAGAGCACTTACTATGTGGCAGGCGCTGAAATAGGTGCCTTATTAAATTCGATACTTATGTTGTAGGTACTAATGTTATCCCACTTTACAGACAAGGAGACTGAGGTTCAGAGAGCTTAAGTAACTTGCTTAAGGTCACACAGCTGGCAGCTGGCAAAGCCAGCAGTTTGATTCCAGAGTTCTTACCCTTAAGTACTTCTTCTTCTTATATAAGTTTATGTATATACTCTGCAAAGTAGGACCTGTCCACTTTTCATACGCTGAAAGTGTAGTGTTCTACTGCAGGACAAATAAAATAGGTCAGTATATCGTCCCATTTTAAAACTGGCCTTGTCTAGGGAATATTCTGTTGCCTTGTCTACTTAGCTGGTTTCTGTGGAGTTCCTAAGTGCCAGGTAATATGTAAATGCTTAATGGACAGGCTCCTTTAATCCTCTTGGGAACTGTGTGATGTATGTGTTCTTGCCCCAGAGGGCAGCTGAGAAAGCCGGGGTTTAGAAAGTCAAATGGCTTGTCCAGGTCACACGGCTAGTCCATGGCAGAGCAGGGACTTTTTTTTTTTTTTAAGATTTCATTTATTTATTTGACAGAAAGAGAGCATGAGCACAAGCAGGGGGAGTGGCAGGCAGAGGGAGAGGGAGAAGCAGACACCCCGCTGAGCTGGGAGCCTGACATGGGGCTCGATCTCAGACCCTGGGATCATGACCAGAGCCCAAGGCAGATGGTTCACCGACTGAGCCACCCAGGCGCCCCGCAGAGCAGGGACTTTAACCTTGGTCTGTCCAACTCCAAATGCCAACCTCTTAGTGTTTTCACTCTTTTGCTTTTGTCTTATCTGCTGGAGATCCCTGGCCTCTTCCAGCGGTTATGCATACTCAGAAGGGATGGGTGCTGCTCAGGGTTGAACTCTATCCACCAGTGCCTGTGACTTCATTTGGAAACAGAGTTTTTGCCAATGACCACGTTAAGATGAGGTCAATTAGGGTGGACACCAATCCAATGTGACTGTGTCCTTATAGAAGGGGACATGTGGACATGCAGACAGATGTGCATAGAGAGGACAGCATCTGGAAGCCACGGAATGCCTTGAGGCTCCTAGGACCTAGGACAGAGGCAGAGAACAGAGTCCCGCTTGCGGTGCTCAGAAGGCGCCAACGTTGCCGATGTGTTCAGGCTGTGGTACAGAGGATTGTCCATGGTGATGAGGACTGTCCCCTAGCCGGGACTACCCATCACCATCACTGGGTTCCTCTTCTCTCCTACTTCCCCACTTCCCCATGGCTCATGGTCTCTACCTTCATTTTTTGTGTCTGTGGTTTTACTTTTTAATATAACCGAATGCAATCAAAAGAAAAGACTTGGGGCCTCCAGCACTGTGAGACAACACGTTTCTGTTGTGTAAGCCACCCCGTTTGTAACACTGTCTTGGTAGCCCCAGGCTACTAACACTAATGTTTTCAAAGGGAGACTGTGACTTCAAGCCTTGCATTTTCTTTTCACCATGTACAGGATCCGCAGACCCTTCCCCACCCCCCGAGGAGCAGCCCACCTCCCCCATGTGGCACTGACCTTCATCATAGAATGGAATGTCGTGGGTCGATATGATCACCGGCGTCCCGTTCTGACCACACTCAATCTCAGATGCCACCTGCAACAGAACATGTGGCATTGGTAGTCAGATGTTGGGAAAATCAGAACTTAGGGAAGAACCTCGAGGCCACAAGGTACATCACCGAATTAAACTTAATTTAAAGGCTGTGTTTCTGGAAAGTACCCAGCTTCCCATCATGCTTCAGGAAACTAAGTAACCCATTCACCTCAAACGGATGAGCCCCACAAATACAGGCAGGATGGACCCCGTCGTACAGATGAGATGCCCAGCTAACAGACACTTGTCTAATCAGTGGGGAGCAAGAATTTGATACGGTGATCCCCAAGCCCCGTGAGATTAACCACATGCTACCAACCCGCACACATAGCACGGTCCCCAGCCCAGCCCTTAGTCAACAAACTTGTCAAATACAGGAAGTTCGCTGTTGGCTTTCTTTCTGCTCCACACCCTCTCTGTCCAACCTCGCTGTTTTCCCAATTTCCTGCCCTGATTGTTTTTATTCTTGACATTTGCTGCAGGTATTTAAAAAGCTTGTATACATATTTATATATATGTGTGTGTACGTACGTACACATACACTCACACAGAAAGAAAAATGTTCCAAGAGTGAATGTATGTTACATAATGCTATTTTAGTAATAAGGCCATCTAAATTATACCACCAATCGTTGACACTAATTGGATACTGATTATGTGCTAAGCATTCTGCACGCGGTATTGTATTTTGCGAATACCATCGGTAGTTTAATACATGTGAATAAGTGCCCAGAGAGGAAACTATAGTCTGAATGGCAGCTCCTGACGGTGGGAAACTTCTGGAGGGACACAGAAGGCTTTTCCTTTCTTTAGGTTTTTATAATGGTCTTAAGTGTTTAAAATAAGCCTGCTTTCTTGAATCTATCATTAACCCTCCCAAGAAATCACAACAAGGAAACACCTAACATGTGTGACCATTTGGCTCCGAGCTCACGACCGGCATCCCTTGGGGCGATCCTGGATGTGCCAATTGGTTTCTTTGGCTTGCAGAGTTTTTGTTTTCAAGTCTTTGGGAATCAGTTGCCAATATTTAAAAAGCAGGAGATTTCATTAACACTGCTTTCCAACTGCTAATGACAAACCAGACTGGGAACATCTGGTTGGTTCCTGTCGGCCAGAGTCCGCCATCTGCAAATGGACCCTTGGTCCCCGGTCCCCTGAAGGTCCTGCCCGCCTGCTTCCCTCCCTTCTATCACCTCCGAGCCCCTGGAGACCAGAGGCTCCCAGACTAGGAGTCACTTGGGTGCTTGAGAGACTCCTGATGCCTGAGCCCCCACGCAGAGGCTGCATTTCAGTTGCCGTCCAGTGGGGCCAGGCAGCGGGAGTCTGTCTGCAAAGCTTCCCAGATGATGTACTCAACAGTCAGGCTTGCTACCCACTCTGCGGGCACTGGAGTTTTTAGCCCATTTCTTCAAATCCAGCCTTCTATTCTGAGCAGGAATTCTCCAATGATATGATCAATACTAGTTTGTAGGGGGTTGTAAACCTCCTATGGGGGTTTCCATGTTCACTGGGCTCCAAGTCTTAAATGGAATCGATTTCAGAAGCACTGGATGGTAGAAATGTAGGCTTTCTGCCACTTGGTCATAGAAGATCTAAGGAGCAGTGCTGGGGTGTCCCTGGCCTTAGCTCTCCAGAGCAGTCTCCTAAAGGAAGCGTTCCTAAAGTAGTGCCCCAACTCGGCTGCCCCGAAAATGCAGATGCCTGCCCTCACTCCCACGCAGATTCTGGTTTAATTGGTCTAGGATGCTACGCCTGCCAGGTGATCCCAATGTGTAGCCAAGGCTGTGAGCTACTGACCCGAATCTGGGTTTCCCATCCTCAGCACCACTGACCTTTGGGGCTAGATCATTCCCTGTTGTGGGGGCTGTCCTGTGCACTGTTTAGCAGCATCTCTGGACTCTAGCCACTAGATCAGTAGCCCTGAGCTGTGACAATCAAAAATGTCTCCAGACACTGCCACATGTCCCCTGGTGGGGCGGGGGGCAGGCAAAATCACCCACAGCTGAGAACCACCTGGCGGTAGGTACCGAACTGACCCCATACGGTGCACCTTGGAGGTCCTCAAAGACACAGGTTTCATAGACTCCCAGCCTTGTAATTTTGGATTCAGTAAGTCTTAGGTGGGGCCTTAGAGCCTGCATCTTTTTCTTTTTTTAAGATTTTAATTTATTTATTTGTCAGAAAGAGAGAAGGAGAGAGGCAAGCAGAGGGAGAAGCAGGCTCCCCACTGAGCAAAGAGCCTGATGTGGGGCTCGACCCCAAGACCCTGAGATCATGACCTGAGCCGAAGGCAGACGCCCAACACACTGAGTCACCCAGGTGTCCCTAGAGCCTGCATTTTTTTTTTTTTTTTAGTATTTTATTTATTTGACCGAGAGAGAGACAGTGAGAGAGAGAACACAAGCCGGGGGGGGGGGGGGGGGGGGGAGGGAGACGCAGGCTTCCTGCTGAGCAGGGAGCCTGATGTGGGGCTCGATCCCAGGACCCTGGGATCATGACCTGAGCCGAAGGCAGACACCCAATGACTGAACCACCCAGGCGCCCCTAGGGCCTGCATCTTTAACAAGCTCCTGGATGGATGCTGGAGGTTTGAGTACAACTGAAGAATCCCTGGGACAACAGCACATCATCAATAATGTCTATGTGATGAGCACTGAAAAGGCCATTTCCTCTGCTGTCATCCCCAAGTCTAGCTACCAGTAGCTAATGACCCAGTAGCTAATGATCTTGCTCAGCTAGTAGTTAGGTGACCCTAACTACACTACCTTGTTAGCGTCTGTCTCCGATTCATTCTCTTGGTCTTCAGCTCTTTGTGGGACGCTCATTTGGTTACCCATTGTTCCTGCAATAGAGAAAAAAAGAGAAAGAGAAAAATTAAAACCCAAGACAAATGAAAGTCTTATTCCCGCCTATGAAGTTAAGTGCAGAGAACTGAGAAGTTACTGTGGATATATTACCACAAGCCCAAGTTAGGTCAATTGCTTATACTTATTTTGGGGGATGAGAAAAGATTTGGGACTCATATATTCAGTAGAATTTAAGTCAAATGCAACCCCAGTTTTCAACTGCTGGGAGGAAATAGCTATCATTGAAAAGTATATTCAGTATAAATACCATTTTTTTCCCCTTCTAACCAAACACAGCTATGGAATCAAGGAGATTTTAGAATGAGGATAGTTAAAATAATGCTTATAATTTTTAGTATTCTCTGATCGTCAAACTGAATTAGATCCCTTGTTAAAAGCCCTCATAGCACTGGTTTTTTTGTTTGTTTTTGATTTTCATAGCACTCAGTGCTACTTGTAATTATATATTTATTTGGCTGTGTTTTCATTCATTTATTGATTCAAGAAATACATCCTGGGTACCAACTCTGTAGCTTATGCTGCGCCAGGCACGAGGGTTATGGCTATGCATTCAACAGACGAGGCCCCCTGACTTCACAGAGCTAAAGTCTGGTGGGTAGATAATAAACAAGACAATAAATCCATCAGACAGGCCAATTCTGATAGTTCAAGGCAGCATGGTACAATGATTAGGAATGCAGAGCCCGAGCAAGACAACCTGGCCTCGAACCCTCTCTCTGCTTCTCCTTGCTGTGTGTCCTTGTGTGAGTTAATTAGGCTCTCTGTGCCTCACAGGCCTGCTATAAGGACTCAATGATTGATGCTTGTAAAGTGGTAAAGACAATGGGGGGCTTGGTATAAGTAATATCTAAGTGTTAAACCCAATGGTTTAGGCAATGAACAAAAGTAAATTGGTAATATAACAAGGACCAGGCTAGGGCTCAGGAGGCAGAAGTTCTGGAATGAAGTAACAATGGATCCAGACTGGGAGGGCAGAACAGAACATTTAGCTTCTGTGTCCCTTCCCCAATACACTGTAAGCATCATGAGGCCAGGTCTGTCTGTCTTTACCTGCTGTCGTATCTTCTATTCTCACCGCGGTGTTTGCATTTATCAGGTGCTAATTATTAGTTATTGGTGGGAAGGAGGGACTTAATCATTGATAATTACGCCTCCCCTCGCCTGGACTGAGCTAGGCGTGTGCCCACATCATTACTAAGCCTCTTGAGAGCCTTGCTTTAATAATAATGATAAAAGTCAACAATTATTTATCACGTTCTCAGTTCCCAGCACTGGTTCCTAAGCATGCTCCCTGTGTCGGTTTATTGAACCCCACAGCACCCCTGTAAAACAGGTGTTGTCATCATCTCATTCTAGATATGAGGAAGTTGAGGCTGAATTACTTTCCAAAGGTCACCCAGGTAATGATGGCAGCGGCAAGATTCAAACAGGCTGCCTAGGCTCCTAACCACTGGAATGTTCTGCAAATTATTACCTCTCCTTCGAAAGGAGGGAATCAGGTCCCCAAAACTCACCCAGGAGAGACATCCAGGAAATGCAGAGTGAGAGCCTGACCCAGAGGATGCCTGGTCTCAGAAGTAGGGCTCTTTCAGACATTCTAGAGCCCTGCTGCCTTGAGACCTAAAAGTTTCTTTTTCACACACACAAATAATGTATGTTTGAGGAGCCTCGGGCTCCTCAGCTCTGGTAGCTTTCAGAATAAAAGCCAGGACTTCTGATTTCTGGTTAAAGCAGCCCATGTGTCTCCAAGGATTCCCCCGGGTTTCTGGCCCACGATATAAAGTTTCATGCCCTGGTAATAGACACACTGAGTCATCAGAAATTTCAGAGGCCAGAAGAGGGTCATAGATCTTACCCCTTGCTCTCTCGGGGAATTTGATCGATAACAGGATCTGGGGATTTTATGTGTTTTCTAATAATACCAGGTAATAAAGCTGAGCACTTGCTAACACATACAGGACACTAGTTATTTTGCAAGACTTCCTATTTATAAAATCCATGACATGCATACTTACAATAGACCATCACTTCCATCTCTAAACAGGCATCACAAATATCATATTGGATCTTCAAGACTGGGGTGGGCAAACAACAGCTGTGGGCCAAATCCAGCCCACTGCCTATTTCGGTGTGGCCGGTGAGCTAAGAACAGGCTTTACATTTATAAATGGTTGGAAAAAAAATCAGAAGAAGAAACATAGATTGTGACACAGGAAGACTATATGCACTCCAAATTTTGGTATCTATAAGTAAAATTCTGGGGGTGATAGCCACGCCCATTCATTCACGTCTTGTCAACATGGGGCTGTTTTCATGTTACAAACGCGGAGTTGCAGAATTGCAACAGAGACTAGATGGTCTAAAAAGCCTGGCTTTTCCAGAATGTTTATCAACTGCTGCTGGAGGTCACCCTGAGTGATATATACCTAGCTTGCGAATAAGAGGATTGAGGGAGCTGAGAGACAGTGCTGGTGGTAGTTAGACTGACCAGGATTTGAACCCACTGTGTATGAAAATAAAGATGACAACTCTAACAACCACAGTGATGACAAAATAGTGACAACAACAACCAAATTGGTGAGTGATTACCATGTGTTGAGAAACTATTCGAAGGGCTTTACTTAGAGTAAACTCGTTGACTCCTTGTTGCATAATCGCAAAGCATGGGTACCATTATTTCAATTTTACAGACAAGGAAACTGAGGTTAGTAGGTGTAAGGCCTTGACCAAGGCCACGCACAAGGATAGACACGCAGAAGATTATGTCACCACCTGAGCCCAGCTTTTTACAAAATTAAAAATGAGTCACCCATGGGTTTGCAAACTTTTCAAGCTCTTCTTATTCAGTTCAGATTCAGTCCAATTTGGGGAGCTACTTTCAAAAAATGTTTGAGGTCATGAAAAATCTCGGGCTGCAAGAAGTGTGATGTGAGCAGACAGGAGAACTTTTCATCCCACAGAGCTGGGGCTCCTCCGTTTTCCTGATAACTGTGGATTTGAAGTAGCTTCTTGGCAAATTCAGGGCCAAGTGAATGGAAAGAAAGACACTGCATTCGCCCGTCTTTTGCAGGGATATCCTGGATTCACAGAATATTGCTTCCCACCAGCAGTTAGAACATGGGTGTTTTGAAATGGTTCCTGCTCTTCCTTCAGATTTTGTATAAAGAGCAGGATTTACACGGGACAAAAACAAAAGGTTCCTGCCACCTATTGGCCATTGTCAGTATCAGCAGAAATGAATACAGTCAGCCTCCAGGGCGAGGTCAGACTGTTTGGGGAGGTCAAGGGGAACAATTTCACGTTTAGCAATTACAGCTTCTGTTAAAGGTTGGCTGGAGCATGGAAAGTCCTCCCCTGCCCTAAAGATAGGACAGCTTAATAAAACAATCAGGATAATCACATCTGATGTGTAGGGAGAGTGAGCCGCGTGCCAGCCCAGCGCCGAACGATCGAGGTAGAGAGCCACGTAGCACGTAGGATAAGGATGAGAATGATCCAGGGCAAGTTACCAAGCCTTGATGGGCCTCGGTTTCCTCTTCTGTAAAATGGGGATAACAAGGGCACCTGGGTGGCACGGTCAGTCAAGCGTCTGCCTTCGGCTCAGACAGAAAGAAGGACACTGCATTCGCCCGTCATGATCCCAGGGTCCTGGGATGGAGCCCTCTATCCCACTGGGCTCCCTGCTTAGCAGGAGTCGGCTTCTCCCTCTCCCTCTAGCCCTCCTTCCCTCTTGTGTTCTCTCTCTCTCTCAAATAAATAAATAAAATCTTTTTAAAAACACTTTAAGAATGTGGATGACAATAGCACCCGCCTTAGGGGGTTGTTGCAAGAATTAAATGAGTTACTATATGCAAGGTGCAGGGAAGAGAGCCAGGCACACGGTGGGCACCATAGAAGTGGTAGCCATGATTAGGGTTGTCATCTTTATTCTTTTTAAAATTTTTTTATTGTTATGTTAATCACCATATATTACATCATTAGTTTTTGGTGCAGTGTTCCGTGATTCATTGTTTGTTCATAACACCCAGTGCTCCATGCAGAACGTGTCCTCCTTAATACCCATCACCAGGCTAACCCATCCCCCTACCCCCTCCCCTCTAGAACCCTCAGTTTGTTTTTCAGAGTCCATCGTCTCTCATGGTTCGTCTCCCCCTCTGACATACTCCCCTTTTCTTCCTCTCCTGTTATCTTCTTCTTTTTCTTTTTTCTTAAAATATGTTGCGTTATTTGTTTCAGAAGTACAGATCTGTGATTCAACAGTCTTGCACAATTCACAGCGCTCACCGTAGCACATACCCTCCCCAATGTCTATCACCCAGCCATCCCATCCCTCCCACCCCCAACCACTCCAGTAACACTCAGTTTGTTTCCTGAGATTAAGAATTCCTCATATCAGTGAGGTCATGTGATACATGTCTTTCTCTGATTGACTTATTTCACTCAGCATAACACCCTCCAGATCCATCCACGTCGTTGCAAATGGCAAGATCTCATTCCTTTTGATGGCTGCATAATATTCCATTGTGTATATATACCACCTCTTCTTTATCCATTCATCTGTCGATGGGCATCTTGGCTCTTTCCACAGTTTGGCTATTGTGGACATTGCTGCTATAAACATTGGGGTACACGTACCCCTTCGGGTCCCTACATTTGTATCTTTGTGGTAAATACCCAGTAGTGCAATTGCTGGATCGAACGGTAGCTCTAATTTCAACTGTTTGAGGAACCTCCATACTGTTTTCCAGAGGGGTTGCACCAGCTTGCATTCCCACCAACAGTGTAGGAGGGTTCCCCTTTCTCCACATCCCCGCCAACATCTGTCGTTCCCTGACTTGTTAATTTTAGCCATTCTGACGGGTGTGAGGTGGTATCTCATTGAGGTTTTGATTTGGATTTCCCTGATGCCGAGTGATGTTGAGCACTTTTTCATGTGCCTGTTGGCCATTTGGATGTCTTCTTTGGAGAAATGTCT